CAAAGCAATACCTTGAGCGGCATAATTCTGTGGCAAAGATAATTTATCAGGAACTGGCTAAAGAACACCTCAACGAAACGGACATGAAACCTTATGAGCTCGAACCTCCCCAGGTGAACGAAAATGATATATGCCGCCTCTACTGGAACAGGAGGATTCACACCCATAAAGCCATGCCTGTTAACACCCCAGACATAGTACTCACGTTGAAGAATACCAAAATTGCCTTCATAATCGACGTCGCTGTGCCGTTGGCAGTTAATATCCAGAGCGCTTACGCTGAGGAGACAAGCAAGTACATGCCTTTGGCAGACGAAATCCAGTGCCTCTGGAAATTGGACAAAGTAATAATTGTGCCAATTATTATATGAGCAACGGGGGAGATTCGTGTGAAGTTGTTTGATAGTCTTAGTAAGATCAACCTTAGAGAGAAGCTGTATCAACATTGATAGAAAGCAGCTTTGCTAGGGAGCTGCAGGATTGTAAGGCGAGTTCTGGGTGATGGATAGTTACCACCAACCGAAAAATTAACTTGAATTTTAAACTTAAACTTTAAATTTTTACTCCAATTTTAAACTTTTAACTCCAATGTTAAAGTTTTAACCCGAATTTTAATTTTTCACTCCAATTTTAAAGTTTTTATTCCAATTTTAAATTTTTAACTTCATTTTTAACTTTAAGGACTCTCCTTTGCATTGAATTGCCGGGGGAGGACTAAATATCTACTGGCCTCGAGCTGTGAATTGAGATACGAACACATAATAATAAAAAATAAAGATTAACAAAATACAACTGTTACAGATTTTGACTCGGTGACAGTAAAAACAAAACCAAGAAGTACTTAAAAAATGCTAGGTTTCATATTACGGCTACGCCTATCCTCTTTAGCCGACAAAATTTTACAGAAACCTTAAATATTGCTGTAGATACATGTAGGGATGCCTGATCCGTCTGTCCGCCAGAACGTACAATTTAACTGATGTCTAGGGTCACATTTCAAGAAAATTTATCGCCCCTTTGACGTAAGGGCGTATTTCGATTTCCACGTGAACCCTGTTGTCCATATAACTCCATACTTTTCAGGGCTCAGGTCAAAATCGAGATACGCTCTTACGCCAGAGGAGCAACAAATTATTTTCATGCTCTCTTACAAGTCACAGCCAAAGTCAATAAAACCATGCAAAAATAATAAAAATAGTCCGATAAATATTTTAAGACTTTAAGCCTTTTAAAAAGCCTTTAACTGACGATTATTTGATTTAGTTGATTAACTTTGAATTGTTACATTTTTTGTAATTGATTTTCCTACATATATAGCCGATATTTTACTAAGAAAATTTGTATTTTTGATGTATCTATACATTTCATCCGTTTTTTGATGTTAAAGTGTATCCAGGTCAATTCATAATGATACATTGCTACGGACGGGAACTTTTGAGCCCGCGTAAGCTTAGTGCGTGCGTGCGGCATGTCGCTTAGGCAGTGCCAAGGATGGGCGCGCGTTGAACTACGGCGCGCCCGCTTTGCTTGGGTGTTTTACGGCTTTTGTATTGCAGATACGACCAATCGGATGAAATTTGGTCTTTAGAATCGTAACCCGGCGTTTTCATCTAAAACCCTCAAATTTCCTCCTGTGTCTTTTAAGTCGTTTGAGCACCGGGTAATTGTTTTTTTCCTTGCACAAGGCTTCTAATCTATCCACGCATCAACTTTTAAGACCAGAACCTCCTTTCGAATTCGAAAATTTAAAAAAATAAGAAACACCCTAACGACCGCATCACAAGGGGAGGGTAGGTTTCAAAAAACATAGGAAAAGTCGCGTCACGTAATTTATGTTCAGTGCCTAATGTAATCTAGGGGTTCAATCCATTACATAATACGCACGGACGGTGTTCGATGCAGCGTCCCGAAGTTTTAAAGAGTGTGAAAAAAGCGATACATTTTTTGGCAGAGACGTTAATAATTGGAGGCCTGGTTCTCACGTCACACACAATGCGTGTGCATTGGTCGTAGGTAATCCAAGTTCGGGGTTCGACGTTTGCGGTTCTGGTCGAATGCGCAATCGCTCGAGACCAAACTCCTTCTGAACCGTGCAACAAAAAAATTGTCTAAAAGTTAAAAAAAAATATCCGCGGGTTTCCTAACAAATCCTTATTTTTTTTTGCTTATAATTTGGCAGCCTTTGAATGTTCATACGCCATTTTTCTAGTAGCTCCCCGAGTTTGGGTTGTTTTTTCTTCGGCCACGGTCCTGACGCGTGGTGCTTGAATCTCAGATTTATGCGTCTCTCCAAGGCTGGTTGTCACTTGTGAAAAGTTATCGCCCCCGCCTCTGGGTCACTCCAGCAACGTTGCCAGTTTTCTGTTAACGTCACGTTTCACCGTGATCTACTGTGAAAGTTTCCAGTCAGGAGACTTGGGCAAAATTGACGGAGGTGCCGTGGCTCATGACAAACGTGATCTCATGTAGGCTTAACAATCTTGCGATGATACGGCGCACGGCGCAGAGGGCTAGTAGAACAGGAAAAACATTTACTCAGCAAAAAAAGGTGTAGCCGGGTTAGAGTTACTCCGCTCCAAAGAGTGGCGAATCCTACTGCCACTGCCGCTCCCAAAGAGTTAGAAAGCTACAAGAACTGGCCCAAGGAACCTCTAAAACAAAGTAGCAAGCCGAGATCGCCATACGTTGCAGAAATATCTTCAAATTACTGCAATTTAATGGCAAAATTCGCGGATTGGCCATCTACCCATTTGAAAGGTCGGAATTACAGTAGAGATGTTTTGCAATATTATCATAATGAACACGAATTAAGAGGCTGCTTGGCAATTCCTGGTTGTGACGCTGATTGCCTACCTCCTCAGTTCAAGGAACCTTCAAAATATTGTTAGAAGATCGCTAAAAAGCGTGGAAAATTGTCCATGTATTGTCAAAAAATTGTAATTATATCGCAAAATTGATGAAATATGATAGGACATTATTGTGACTCTAGCTTTGTGAAATGCAACTTGGGGTCATGGTGATATAGCAAGAGTCAAAAAACGCGTGACCGAATTCATCGTTTATTCCCAGACGAAAGAACATAAATTCAAAGGTGACAGAAGGTGACTTCAACGCCATATCAGTTCGCCTTCAACTTTTAGCGTAGGCATCATGGGTTCCCATTTGGTCGAATAGTGGTTTCATTGTACACACCGAAAAAAATTATATGCTGTTTTAGCATCTAGGATGTTAAAAATGTGTCTGGTGATCCGGAGTTGTTGTCCTTACTGCCCTCGCAGTTAATTTTACATCCTGTGAATGCAAATTTAACTATGTAGGCAGTTAAGGCAGCATCTTGAGATCACCAGACACATTTTTAACATCCTAGGTGCTAAAACAGCATATTATTTTTTTCGGTGATATTTATTCGGAATACACAACAAATATCCTGTCAACTAAAGAGGTGATTCTAACGCACTGGCAGGTCGTCTACAGTTCTTGGTGTGGGCAATACGAGCGTCTCCTTAGTTGAAAAGTGGTATCATAGTGAAATAGCACACATACATACGAGTTTTTACGAATATTTTCCTGTCCTGTACGAATTCTTTGACTATTTAAAGCAGCATCGTTCATTGATTTTCGAAAATACGAAAGAAAGCAGCGAAGATTGTGGAAAGTCGGAAAAAATCGTTTTCGTATTTTTTTCACATTTAAAAAAAAAAAAAGAATGGACTAAAGATTATATTTATTCCCTTGGTTCTTTGTTGACTATTTTGGCATGGAAACGGAGTTCTCCTGTCTTTACAATCGTTCTGCTGCTACGGCTAACTAATTTCCTATGTATCTGTGACCTCGGGCGATTCGCCCAATGTTCGATTTTTGGTTCATTTTTGGATGTATCAAAAATCGTTGTTGTTAGCCAATCATGTCTCTACGTCAGGTTGTGTAGAATTCTAAAATTCGCTCTCCGCGAGTTTTTTTTCTTTTTGAGATGTTACGTCTGACTGGCAAATCTGCGCAGAACCACCGAAAAACGAATTTCGGCAAATTCTTTTTTTGGGAGGTTCTGATTGGTTTCATTTCGCCATCAATTTTCTGTTCGTTGGTGCCAACAATCGCCTTCCTCGTGGCTCTTGAGAAGCCGCCATTATCCCACTTCAAATTTTAAAAATAAAAATAAAGAAAGAATAACCATTGTGCAAGGTGGAAAATTGCTCTGGAGCACCCGTTACGGATGTATGAGCCAAAATCAGAACTTGATTGATTGATTTAATCCATGAATACAGAAATATTGCCTCAGCTTACTGCCGCAATAGTTAATGCATGCTGAGATGAACCTTGTGACACATGAAAGCATAGGCAAACAATGTCTCACAGAGAAATGCACTGAATCCGTTGTCTCATATCGCGGCAGTGGCCGAAATGTCAAGGACATCTTTTGTGAAGCCCCGCTCAGCGTCCGAGATCAATTAACTGTTCTCTTTTCTCCAGACTTTTACGAGCGTCGAGATGGCTCAGTTGTCTACGACACCTGTCTGGCGCTAGGAAGGTGCTCCATTTTGTGCGAGCGGGGGTTCGAATCTCGTAGGGGACAGTTTATTTTTAATGGTTGTATTGAATGTTTTAGACCAATCATCAAACAATAACTAATACTTGGCAACTCTGGAAGCACATAGGTAGCATGATGCGTATTCGGGCATATGTGTAGAGTAAAAATATCATATACTTTACGCCGAAAAAGCGAACCTGAAAATTAAATGCGTTGACTTCCGAAAACTATATATAATCTAACGAAAATAAATAATTGGTACATAACAGCTTCCTTGTATGCAAAGAAAAAAATTAAAAATGTTAAAAAAGAGATGTCAACCCAAAATTACATAGCCCCTTCAATTCAGAAGATACTACAAACGAACTGTACCTTAACATTTTCATATCCCAGAAGCTAAAGTTCCCATGACGAATACTGCTATCGCTAGCGATTGCAAAATCCAACTTCTTTTTCTTTTATTTCGTTTCAGATTAATCAAAAGGAACCAGATCTCTATTATTGAGGATGCTGCATTTGTTAACCTGACATCTTTAAGAATCTTGTAAGTAAAGCCTTTAAAAATATGTTGGTTTGATTTCCTTCCACGTTGTTTGATCCAATCTGCCGTTGCTACACGGTTGTTTATTTCGCGTTCGGTCGGGTATTGTTAAAAGTAGATAAACGGATCGATATTAGTGTAAACTACATATTTGACGTGGCCTTATTTCCTCTAATATTCCTTAGTTTAATAAGAAAACGAAGCAAATCCAAATCTTTGTGAGTAGATTCCTCATCATTCTTCATTACTCCTACACGCAAAGAAAAACAAATTGCTGATTCAACAATTCAATTGCTAAAAACAGTGAGTGTAATGTTTCAACAGAGATTTTACAACAAAAAATGCTACTTTAACCACATTGTAAACTAATTAACCACGGGGGTGGTTAAAGTAGCACATTTTTGTTGTGAAATCTGCGTTGAAACATTGCACTCACTGATTTTAGCAATTGAATTGTTGAATCAGCATTTTTTTTTCCGTGTAGGTAATGAGGATATTCTAATAAATGAGTCTGTTGCACTCAAGAGATACAGCCAACTGAATTGACCGTTAAGGATGAATTCGCTCAAAAATCAAGTACGGAACATAATTAAAGTCTGAAATTCCCTCCTCAGCGCGCCATCTGCGTAGTTTGTAACATGTTTTTAAAGTATCCCACGCCTGTGGGCAGTTTTTTCAGTCACCGCCAACCAGGTTTGCACAGGCAGAGGAGTTAGAAAGAACCACCTACGGTAAACGAGCAATTCACTGATCTCATCTGTTTTCAAGCGTTTGTTTCCGTTTTCTTCTTTTATTTCGCAAAAACTGATCCATTGAAATCTTCTGCAAGAAGAGCTTATAATAGTTTCCAAGATTGTGTGATCATTTAAGTTAGGTCTCTGTTTTTGCAAACCTGACTGCCAGCCACTAAGAAAAACTGCCTCTTATGCGGTAAATTTTAAAAAACGTGTTACAAACTACGTAGATTGCGCGCCATGGAGTTAATTTCAGAATTTTTTGATGTGCCCATCGGATTTTCGAGCAACTTTACCCTGAAAAAGTGTTCTCAGTTTGCTGTGTCTCTTATTTGCAACAGATTCATTCACAAAAATGTTTGGAGCGTTAAGAATTTGTGGAACTTTATCTGTCATCTGATTGACAAGTCCTTTGTTCTGTTTGAAAGAGATAAAAAAAAGGAGAAAAGTAGACAACTTGAAATGTAGTTGGGCTGATTATTCGTCCAAATGCCGCACTTTTGTCGAGGGGTTTCAGATAATTTGATCAAAAATAAAAGGTTTTTTTTTTTTTTTTTTTTTTTTTTTTTTTAAAAAAATACTGATGTAGTACTTACGGAGGAAGTATTCAGGAGACGTGAAATGTATAATATTGCGGATCAAGGAGAGGTTTTTCTAAAAGTTTGGATTTTGCCCCGTTCCGAATTTCATTACCCTTACCTGCTCAGTGGTCAGTTATACTGACCACCTTTTTAAATAATTATTCATGGCCGTTTTGGCGCGACATACCCTTACCTACCATGTAGTTATACTTGGTATATGGTCCAGAATATGAAAAAAAATATTGCCGGGCGATGTTATGTTGGCAATATTGTTTTATCATCTATTGTTTACCTCCGATTCGTTGGAGGTTTGGTGCCGCCGGTGTTATCTCCAGTTTTGCGGTTGTCAGTTGCTTGTGCGACGCAAATGGTTCTGATTTAGTAGTAAAATATTAAGTTAGACTATAATGCTGCGAGAATGTCATTTGGCAATTGAAAAATTCAGAAGTTGCGATTATTTAATTCATGCTTGAACATGGTGGTTAGTATAACTGACCACCGTGCAGGTGGCTATAGGAGCTGGAACTGGATTCTTGTTGCTTTATTTTTTATTATTATTTTATCAGTAATTTTTATGATTATGTTCATTACTTTTAATTATTGACCAAAATTATTATTTTAAAATTGCTAGTCTTATGTGGGAAAGGACCATTATCGTTGCATTTTGAAGGAATGAATTTATTTTATTGTGACTAGTCTTTGATTGCCTCCTTACTTATTCCAGTTACGCTCATATGTTCTTCACTTCAAGCAGTTTTATATATTTTTGCTTTATTTATACTCTTTTATAATAAATTATACATTTTTCTGAGACTAGCTTCACTCAATTTCCAAAAACAGAGACTCTATCACTTACAAACATGTCAGAAAAAGTGAAAAACTTACAAAATCTACGGAGTCAACATTTATAATTCACTGGTAAAGTTAGTATGGAAGGTAAGGGGAGGTCTGCGAGGGAAGGGTTGGGGGCTTGGAGGGCAGAAATTGAATGTCTTGCGCAGATAGGTAGAGACAAGGATCATTTTTTACACAAAAATAAAAAAAAAAACACGAAAATTATATCCACATAGGTGAATAGGAAATTTGCGTATTCCTATCCTGTTCAGTGGTCAGTCATACTGACCACCCTTTTTTGTCAAAATTTCCGGGTAAAAAAAAGTCAAAAAAATTTTTTTTCACTAATTTTGAGTTATCTAGACCCAACAGGCCTTAGAAAACTCGAAATTTCAAAAATAATTTCGAAACCCATAATGTGTGCAGGTAAGGGTTAAATGATACTTGATCGTTTCATGGTTTGATTTTTCGTCCATTCTATCTGTTTCTTTCTTGCATTCTTTTTCAGAGAATTAGACGATAATGCGTTGGTGCAAGTTCCGTCAGCTCTTAGTAAATTAACTTCCTTACAAGAATTGTCTGTATCAGGCAATAAAATAAAATATATTCCAAACGGTGTTTTGCAGAATGCTCAAGGGCTAGCGAAGCTGGAACTTAAAGGCAATCCTTTAATCGGCGTTCATCCGCACGCATTTTCTTTCTTACCAAAGTTAAGAAAGTTGTAAGTTTCTTTTTTAAATCAACTATATTTTTCAAACCTTAGAATAGGTGTTTGAGATCATACCCGGACTTTCCGGATGAAGAAAAATCGACAGTATTTTTGTCCTATTGAGTCGATGAGCACTAGACCAGCTCATAAGTCACCTTATTTTTCGTTGATCACACACCACTTCCTACCTACGCTTGCTCGGTCCTACCGTAGATAGGTCGTAACAAATGTCATACCAAACAGCATAAAATGAGCTAAAAGACAATGTCTGAACAAGAAGAATACGTCACATGGTCCTTCTCCAAAAACTTACGCACCAAATGATTCACATAACAGGAAGGTCAGAAGTCAACTTTTACACGAAGCATAAATGAGTATTTTTAGTATCGGCCAAATGAAAGTTTATTTTACAAATAACGTCATCTGTGTATGTAATTATCGTATTCAAGCACTGTAAATTGTAGACCCTCATAATAGCTTGTTTATCACATGATTTCTAGACAACCTATTCTATGATTCGTCTTCCTGAAGGAAATTTAAAGCAATAGCATGCTCCGTAGTGTTTCAATCCAAACCTTGTCTAGGAGACCCATTCCGTTTAGATCATAGAGTGCATAGAGTCGTAATGTGAATGGGAGAGCTGACACCACTTTTAAACATTTTCCAGGTCTCAAATTCCGAGACTCCTAAGTCACGGCGGGTCACTTTTTCGATGTATAATCGATTGTTTTCGATACACGGGGACCCGGCCATCTGATGGAAACAAAGAGGATGGGAATTACTGAGTATTCTACATCACCATTTCGGATCGAATAAGTGACCGAGGCTCGGCGCACACTGGGCTCAGAACTTGTTGTCCAGAACATGGCGCCATGTCTCCCATTTACATCAAAATTCTATGTATCCTATGGCTTAAATGGACTTTTCCCGTCCATCATGATAATTTTAATTTAGATTGAACTTTTATAGACAACAGCCGCATCACTATCTTGTTGTCTAGAGCATTGGTTCGATTTTAAAAGGTCTTAAGAAAATAAGGAGGGATTTACTCGGACGATTTCCACGATTTTTGGCTATCGCAGTTGGTAATCATCTCTACATTAGCCTGCAAATTGCGATTTATGATATCTATAGATTTTTTTCATTCACAAGGTGTCCACCGAGGGTTTGCTCCGTAGGGGCCAGGCGTGACCCTATAATATGTGACTATTGTAATTGTTTTCTTTTCTTGAATGCAACTCTAATCACCATTACCGTTTCATATTTTTTCTCAGAATCCTATCAGAAGCACGGGATTTGAAAGAGTTTCCTAGCTTGAACGGCACTAAAGCTTTAGAAATTTTAAGAATAGATCGCGCAAGTATTACTACAGTTCCTGTATCATTATGCACCATGTGTCCTCGACTGAAAAGTTTGTAAGTCTCCATCATTTTTTTCCTCAATAATGAGAGTTTCGAAATTTTGTAATAAATTGTGCATTCACTATGTACCCTTTCACTCGAAATAACACGATTCCTAATGTTGAATCAAACGCTTTTCGCACCTCTGTATGACTGGAAAATTGAAAATTCAATTTTTCACCTCATTTTTTAAGTCTATTTTAGAAAAACAAATAAAATAGGACAATAATCGTTGAAACTCGCCAGAAAAATGTTTCAAAGAAAGTTGCATCTCAGTCTCAAGTAAACCGCATTCCACTCATTATTAAGTATGATCGAAATTACTACTAAAATGTGTTCAAAAACATAATTTTGCTCTAATCCTCAATCGACTCGTAGCATTTCATTCATAAGTGAAACCTATTAACAATCACAATATACTATACAATATTCACTGATGTATGAAAATATTCACTCACAACAAATACGCTTTTTTACAATTAATTGTATGACTTAATTTTTCAGAGATATGAAGTCCAACAACTTATCTCATATTCCAAACTTAAATGAATGCAAGGATTTAAGAGTTTTGTAAGTATTCTGGGTATTTTTTCCCATCAGACAATCATTCAATGGTGTCATAATTTTGTATTGTTATTTCAATAATTCATGTATTAATTTTTTCTCCGTCTTTATCTCAGTAGCTGTGAGCTATTATTTATATCATCCCACCTTTGGTTACTTGGCTTCCGACGGCGAATTCCTCTCGTTCACGAAAGCTTTCGTTAGAACCGCCTTAACTCATTCAAATTTCGTAACATTGTCCATTTCTGCCGTAAAAGGAGGTCACTAGATTCAAACGGTCCAATCACATTTGCCGTTCAATTGCGATCGAATCCTTTGGACTCGACTTTTATACGACCGAGAGGACAATATTACAACATGTGAATGAGTTTACAGGGTTCTAACGAAAGTTGTAGCGAACAAAAGAAATTTGCCAACGAAGAGCGTGTAACTTTTTGTATTATAATTGTCTCTAAAGATTCAATGAAAAGAAAGCGTTTTATTTTCAGGTAGCAGCTCCATGTTTGAATTGAATGTATATAAACCAAAAAAAAGAAGCAGTGAACTGCAACTAAATGTGTTGATAAGGCACTTCATTGACTCGTGTACCTATTTCAACCTGATTAGTTTTCATTCACAGAAATTTTAACTTATAGGTTAAGCCGGCCAGGTTGGCCTATAGTGGTCAGCGCGTCTGACTCTAGGCCAATAGGTCCCGGGTTCGAATCCCGGTGGTGGCGACAAATTTTCATGGAACTGACGAGTGGATCTGCAGAAACAGATTCCACTCGGCCTTAATCTCTGAAAATTTAAAAGCCTGGAGCATGGATGTGCCTAAATCCCATGATATCTAAGGACAATAAATACTGTCTGTCGATGGCTGTAGGTTCTAACGGAATGTAAGCCACTAAACCAGAAAAAAAAAAAAAAAAAAAAAAAAAAAAAAAAAACACATATAGGTTTTCAGCACATGGAGGTAACTCACGATCCAACGCTGCGAGATAAACCACGCATCTCGACGAGATCGTTTATTGTGAACGTAGAAAACCATTCGAGCGAGTTTAAGTTTTTGATCTGCCACAAGCATAAACGTATCATATTCTTGAAGAGCAGTAGCTACTGAGTAATTTAAGCCAAAAAAGAAAAACTCTTGTCGAACTCCTGGGAAATAAAGTCGATTTAAAGGTAGTTGGGGCTACATTAGCCAAATCACCGGCAGTAAACTCCGTTATATTGTTGAAAAGAAATTAACTCTAAATAAATGCCCTTGCATTAGATATGTCTTGAATTGGTTATTTTCAGCACCTGCCCATGCAATTCAGCCATGTCTGATGTTCATTCTTGAAAAGAAAGTAAGCCATCTACATCCTGAAAATTACCGATTTACCGTAAAAAATCGCAGAAACTTGATGTATAAAATCGTTAACTTTTAAAGTCAATTTAATGAGGGGAAATATGTGAAAATCAAGATATTTTAGTGATTTCGGGTTCATTGTTTTTTGTTAAACAATAATAACTAATTTCAATATGGAGAAACCATCATTTTTTCGTATAGTTAGTTAGTGATTTTATTTATAGACATTCAGTATCCTAGATTATTAACGTCCTCATAAAGAATTTGGAAGATGGGTGTAAATACAAAAATTTAGATTTTTAAATTAAGGGAAGCAAAAAGTTTCAGTGAATCGAAATTGACGTAAATATATATATATGTGTATGTCAACTCCCTGACAGGAAAATTCAAGTCTACGTAAAATAATAGATATGTATCGATATGCTGAACCGGGAACATGCGTAAACAACGATTTGAAGCCTGCGTTAACATCAATTCAACAAGGAAACTAAAAAAATTAGTTGGGATTTCAGTCCCTTTGCTCCCTTACCTTCGTAACCGGGAAACTGTTCCGGTACTATTCCCAAATTGTTTTTTCATAGAGCTTTGGATCATTTTAAGCTTCCATTTAAACCCCGGTTCGATGATCGAATTGGTTGCCCAAAAAGTATGGCATTATCTGGAGGGTTTTATCAGAAATTCGTGCAATTATTATGACTCTCAGGAAATTTTCATATGACTGAAATTGGTAGTATTAGTGCGTCGAGTGCTTAAAATAATTGTAATAAACAAACGAAGGCATTGTAACTATTAAGTTAATTTCTTTTAGTGTTCTACGGGGATTTACAACCGGTTATTCAGATATTATAAGCCACAAAATACATTTTATTAGCCTTTATTTTCCAAGATATTCATAGATTTTTTTTTTATTTTGGATTAAATGACCCTTAAAACACTGCGGTTTAAGAGTCTAAAGAGTTTTCGATTGTGGCAGATAAAACAATGAAACCTGCTCAAGCTCGTTCTCTATGGGGTACTAATCCTAATTCAACCTCGTTTTTAATTCAAAATGTTTATAAGGAGGACCCTTGCAAGGAAACAATGGTTATTATTTTTGACCCAAATTTTTGCTCCGTTATAATATTTACCTTCTTTTTATTTTTTGTGTAGAGTAGTCGAGATTTCATTTAAATCCGTGGATTCCGAAATTTAACCTCTCTCATTTTCGACCGATTTTTATAAATGAGACCTCTTTCTATTCGCGTTTGAACGGAGCGTAAGAAAACTTTTGATGGATACACGTGAAACAATGTTTGTGAAAATTTGGTGGATCTCACGGTGCCGGTGAAATAGGTCATCAAGCATTAGTAGTAGGCTCCTATTGTGTCGCGGTAGCCTATTCGGGAGTTGCCGAATTGGTTCCCAAGTGGCCCATTCCCCAAGACGGTCATTTCCGTATTGGTTCCCATTTCCAAAGGTCGTATTGGTTTCCGTGTCCGCATTAGTTCCCATCTGTAAGTTTGTAATTCAAAATTTGTCATTCAGAATTGCAAAACGGCTCGCTCGAGTGCTAGTATTTCCCTTTCCATTTTTGAAGGCTTAGGACTCTCTACCTAAAATGTAGGCATGGTTAAATACGTTGTGAAAATGAAAATAAGAGTAGTTCAAGAAGAAATTTAAAAAAAATGGTCCACGTTTCTATACACATTTCTGGAGAGGAGAGGATCCGTCAGCAAATCAGAAAAGAAAAGAGTTATTAAAGGAAATATTTGTCAATAAAATCCTGAATTATACCCTGAAAAGTTTTAGTAAAAACTTACTTCAAAGATTGCACAGGCAAGCATTTAAAAGCAATTTTCTTTAGAAAACCTGAATGATCGTGATTTTGAATATACCTTTTTACTGCAGTTTCCAGAAATTCCACTTTTTCTCCTCACGATCGGTCTACCTCATCATTGTCAAATCAGTTGCTAAGTAAAGGATTTTCAGGCACGCCTCCTTTTCGTTACTGCCGGTCCTCAACAGCTCGGCTTGTGCAGTTGTCGCTTCTTGCAAAAAACCAACTCACTCGAAGGAACCGATTCGAACATGGAAAATTTTGAATCGGGAACCAGTACAGACCAAGGTTTTGTATCATTCGGGAACCAGTTCAGACTAAAATAAGGGTGACGGCCACGGGACCCAATCCGGGTTCACCCGCCTATTCTTCATTGAGGCGGAAACTCAGTTTGACTACCTGAATCGGGACGTCAATGCAGTACTCAGGCGTGATAGTGGAGAGAGGGATGAACGTGGATTTCTGTATGAGCCATGGTTAGCACATGGTTTTCTAGCCCCGAGGATCATCGCAGATTGCACTTACGGCCCTGTCTATCACAGCAGTGGCACCAAGGTTTGCAAGAAATAATCGCGGCCTAGAGATTTTCCGAAGCACCATTTTAAACAAAATGGATTAATGATATTCACATTTGGATGGAACACCCGAATTACATCGGAATCATGGCTGGACTGCTCTTTGTTTATATCGGATGTTCCAGAGCACCCATCCACTATCTTTTCCTCGGCCAAAAATTGAGCCTTAAAAAGAATTTCAGTACAAACCGCACCTAAATATCTGTTTTCATTCAAAAGATCTCGAACTCAACAGTTTTTAACTTGGCAACGCTGCTACGCGTAAATTCATTTTAGACCTTGCAATTTTCGGAAAAGGCGTATCCAATGATGATAAATGACATATTCAAAATTGACCAAAATCCACGAGGGGAGAAATTTTGCCGATTTTGTACACACCCCATTTATTACAAGGCTCATTACAATTGCATGTCTCAGTAGAATTTAATATCATCATTCGATTTGTATGATTTACTTCATTAATTATTTTATTTTTCAGGGATCTAGCAAAAAACAAAATTAAAGAAATTTCAGAAAATGCTTTCCATGGTCTCTCCAAGCTGCATGATCTACTTTTATCAAAAAATTTCATTTCAGCCATCGGCAAAGACGCTTTCTTCGGTCTTGTCAGATTGCAAGTCCTGTAAGTCTAGTTTTTTTTTTACCTAATTGCAAAACATTACCCAGAAACATCGCACTTAAGCTTTATTCCTTTTATCTCCCCTTCATTTGACCAAATCCAGACTCATTTTGTACATTTAAGTATTGACTCTAACTTGTAACTTCTTCTTGAAAAATGAAATGTATCAATTGATTTACTAAATTAGTTGTGAATGTCACATCCCTCGAAAAGATTGAATTTTCCAGCACTTTTGAGTTGTACCGCACGCATGCATATTAATATGCATAACGCATGTATCAGGGCGATGCTTAACACAATTTTTGTTTGGCAGATACAGCGGATGATTTTAATGTCGTAGTTATCGTTAAACTTATACAGGGTGTCCCAAAAGTCCCTCCCACCCCCTCTAAAATTTTACCTAATTAATATCATAAAACGAAACTTTGGGGATGTTCGTCAATCAATGATAGCTACTTTTGGGGCCCCCCAAAATTTTCGGGCCCCTCCGTGGGGAGAGGCTGCGGACCCCAATTTTTTTTTTCAAATAGCAACCCCTATCTTGTGATACCTCATTCGAAAGAGCATAAAACACTAAGAATTTTGGCGCAAACCGCAGATCAATATCTTAATTTCTGACCGAGTTATGATAGGTCTAAGGTCAAATTTGACCTATTTTCAAAAAATCATATCTCCGGTCCAAATTATTGTCATGAAAAAAATAAAATGGGAAAATTTACCAAATTGTGTTCGCTTTTAAGTAAAATTGCAGAATGCACTTCAAACTAATTTTAAGGGGGGGATCAGACCCCCAAATATGTCAATTCAAAGGTCATTAAATTTTCCCGCGAAATAAGCCAATTTCCCCCAGATTTGCCTCCACATTATCTCAGTAAGGTCAAAATCAGTTCAACATTACGTTGGCAAGTCCCCAGATTTCGGGAAAAGTTAAAAAAAAAACGAAATTTAAGGTGATTAAATTTGACCGTTTAAATTTGGTTTTTTGTTCTAACTTTTCCCGAAATCTGGGGACTTGTCAACGTAATGTTGAACTGATTTTGACCTTACTGAGATATTGTGGAGGCAAATCTGGGGGAAATTGGCTTATTTCGCGGGAAAAATTAATGACCTTTGAATTGACATATTTGGGGGTCTGATCCCCCCCTTAAAATTAGTTTGAAGTGCATTCTGCAATTTTACTTAAAAGCGAACAGAATTTGGTAAATTTTCCCATTTTATTTTTTTCATGACAATAATTTGGACCGGAGTTATGATTTTTTGAAAATAGGTCAAATTTGACCTTAGACCTATCATAACTCGGTCAAAAATTAAGATATTGATCTGCAGTTTGCGCCAAAATTCTTAGTTTTTTATGCTCTTTCGAATGAGGTATCACAAGATAGGGGTTGCTATTTGAAAAAAAAATTGGGGTCCGCAGCCTCTCCCCACGGGGGGGGCCCGAAAATTTTGGGGGGCCCCAAAAGTAGCTATCATTGATCGACGAACATCCCCAAAGTTTCGGTTTAAAATATTAATTAGGTAAAATTTTAGAGGGGGTGTAAGGGACTTTTGGGACACACTGTGTATTGAAAATAATAATATTAATAATATATAAAAGAAAGGCGATTTATCCCAAAGGCCGAGCCTCTTCTTATAACTTTTGAACAAATAATGCTAGGGATTCGAGATTTTGGGCGTATTCTTGGGTGTAAGGGAACTACTTTTTGGCGTACGCAAAATTTCGCGGGACGGGGCGGGAGGACCCTAACTTTTTTTTAAATTTGAAACCCCTATCTTGTAATACATCATTCGAAAGGGCTTGAAAAAAGAAAATTTTGAATAAAGTGGCGGCCAAAAAATGGAGGAAGATGCGTTTTTTGGCTATGTACCAACGGATTTGCTTGAAAATTGGTTTTTACAAATCCGAGGTCGGATTAGTTTTTCTCGTGCTCAAAAACGTCCGGAAGCCACGTTCCTTGCGTATCCGTCGGTGAATAGCCAAAAAACGGATTATCCGCCTGTTTGTTAAAAATTGAGATACCGACAATTGGTTTTTCCGACAAATGATTTTTTTTTACACGCTTTTGAATGATGTATTGCAAAGGATCACACGCAATTTCCGGGGAAATTGTGTGTGTCCTTAGCACCGAGTGTTTTGGGTTTTGGATTTCTGTGATCGAAGTCTCAGGGCCGGAGCTAGTCAGTCGGATACGCGTTTTGGGAGAGTTTGCATTCGCCGAGGTCCAATACCTTAAGCCCTCGGATATTGGCCTGCTTATTTGCTGTGTTTAGTGCATTTTTAAGGTCACGAAGTTCGTGTGCTCGTCGTGTTCTGTTAGTTCATAGGAGATTGAGGGAATAGAGATCAATCCCCATAAAATCCGTGATCGAACCACGCTGCGCCCCCAATGCAGATAGGCTCAGGGCTCCGGGATCCAACACCCAACTCACTCCGGGTCTACTAAAGGAATAAAGGGTGATCCTGGAACCCCATCAAAGTCGTGCTTTGAATTATTTCCCCTCTATCAAGCTTCGCTGCGCGCCCCCCCCCCCCCCNAAGCAGATTGGGTCAGGGCTCCGGCACCTGACGCCGAACTCACCCCGCGTCCATTACATGGTGAGAAAGCCGGGTACGCAGATGACAGGGGTTCCGAATTGAAAGAAAAAAACTCAAAGGAGCTGCCCCCCAAAATTTTGGGCACGTCAAAAAGTATTTACCTTTGACCTGCAGCCATTTTTTTTAAAAATTGAGATATTGACAATCTGTTCACACCAAAAATGTTCTATTTTGAAGCCCTTTCGAATGATTTATCCCAAGATAGGGGTTCCCATTGGAGAAAATAAGTTAAGGTCCGCCCCTCCCCCCCCCCTCAGATGGGCCAGGGCCAGGGGCATTCCCCCCCGAAATTTTGGGTACGCCGAAAAGTAGTTCCCTTTGACCAAGGAAGATTCTCCAAATTTCGAATCTCTAGTATTTTTTGTTTAAAAGTTTTAAAGGGGTTCCCGGACTTTTGTATAACCATGTATAGTTACAAGTTTCCTTAACATGAATAGTCCTTCCTCTTTTATTTGTCTTATTTGTCTTTTCGATTCCTTAGTTTTATATTCTTAAAAAGTGAAATAGTTAGAGCATGGAAAGGGCCCAAAACTGTAGTCCTCGACTCGTTTTGGGTTCTTAATACCAGAAGAAATCTTGTGGGATTAAAAAAATAATAATGATAATAAATAGATTGAACAACTACTGTGTAGCACAGAATGAACAGAAATGAGTTTATGTTTGTTATCGTATGAGCACGTTCTTGTGTGGTTTCCCATCTAGCCTGTGTATTTAAATTGTTTCAGAGATTTAGAAGCCAATCAGATTAATGACATTCATCCGGAAGCTTTTTTAGGATTAACGCACCTAGAAGATTTGTAAGTTTCTCTAAAAAAACCTGATCTTGTATCATTAGTTCAATCGACGAATATATAGATCTAAGAATTTGATCCATTTTTCAGTTCATTTGTGTATTGGTGCTCAAGTGAGTTTACATTTCGTAAGTCTTACATGGAAGAAATGTTTGAACCTTGCGGAGATCTGTGTTTATTAGAAATCAAAAATTTCACCGAATCATGAAGTAGCCAGTAACATGTTTTTTTGAATGAATACGTTTGAATAAGTAAATCAAACAACCGCGATCTAATCTTGTTGGATTTTTGCACGAGTCAGCCCTAAAAACGGGTGCCAGACAATTTCGCGATTTATCGATGGTCAAAGTGTGAAACAATGTGTCTATATTCGTGACTTTGCAGACTTTTTGCCATAGGTACTTTATCTTTTCTTTAGAAAAATAGTCTACGTATATTTTTTAATACTTCCTCGAATTTTTTTCTCGATCGGCAGAATATTTTGAACAAATTTCAAGCTTTAGAAAAGGTTTGTTTTCTTTCTCAAAAACAAAGGGTGCGGTGAAGTTTGCAGATTCTAAGAATCTGGTGGCGTTTGCGGATTCTCATGTTTTGATGGTAGCGATTGCGGGAAGGCGGTGTAGGGCCTTTTTTGAGTTTGTGGATCAGAGAGTTTCGGCGGCGGCGACTGTGGACGGAGGGTTAGGTACTTACATATGCCCCCCCCCCACCCGCAATGTATATTAATGAAAAAAATTACCGGCGAGACACTGGATATTCCATGGGTGTAGAATGAAAAAACCAATTAGAATTGAACATTAGTATTATATTAGTATGAAAACATAAAAAGTATCAACTACCAAAAACCCTCAAAAACATTTTCGGGCATAAAATCCGGTCGAAGAAATTGACGTGTTACATCTTATTAACCAAAAACATTCCCTTTCACCTCTTCAAGAAGGTTGATAAAACTAAGTAACTATGAGATGGAAAAAACCTCTCTTAAATTCTCAGGGTCCACCAAGGCCACATAGGACCAAAAACTTACTCTAAATGGTTTTAAAAAAAGGATGAGGCTATTTTTCGGTACGGTACCGACGGATAAATGGCTATTCGTCGGTACCGTACCGATGAATAAATGGCTATTCGTCGGTACCGTACCGACGGATAAATGGCCATTCGTCGGTACCGTACCGATGAAAAAATGGCTATTTGTCGGTACCGTACCGATGAATAAATGGCTATTCGTCGGTACCGCATCGGCGACATTAATTAATAAAAATGTGTTGTCAAGCCTTGGTCCGAATGGACAAGCAAACGCCATCTATGGTGCTCTGTTGTAATTACACGGAGATACTAAGTGCTACAAATGTACAACTATTGTCAGTTCATGGTAGCTGCTCCACGGCTTGCGAATCTTCAGTATCTGTCGCTGCCCCAACTAACAACGATCATAGTGCAGAAAGCTATGCCACCACCAGCGAATCTTCGATTTCTGTTGATGCCCCAACTAACAACGATCATAGTGCAGAGAGCTATTCCACCACTAGCGAATCTTCGGTTTCTGTTGCTGCTCCATCTGACGAAAATGTCAGTGTAGAGAGCTTCACGAAGCTAAAATCTAAGAGTAAAGTCATTTCACGAGGGCGACCTAAACTGCCAGCAAGACAACTTTGTTCCTTTAATCGCACCGTTGCCGACCAACAATCTGTGGAAAATCCCCCCGAAAAACGAAAACGAAAGAAAACACCTGCAAATGAAACTAAAGGCCCCACCACCCGAAAAAAGAAGCGTTCTTGATGATTCTTTTGACAGAGTAGTACATTTCAGTATTATGATGATTCATTTGACAGTGAAGTACTTTTCAGTATTATGATTATTTATTTGACAGAGTAGTACATTTCAGTATTATGTGAGAGTATTAAATACATAAATTAAATTTGGAGAATATTTCTTTACAACTCGTGTTGGGTTTTTTTTCCATCTTTCACCCAATTTTTAGCTCTTAACTCCCACCAAAATATTATTAAGAAATCATATCTTTAATATAATTTACGTACTAAAATCAAAGTACGGTACCGACGAATAGCTATTTATTCATCGGTACGGTACCAACGAATAGCTATTTATTCATCGGTACGGTACCGACGAATAGCCATTTATCCGTCGGTACCGTACCGAAGGATAGCCACTTCGTTAAAAAAAAGAAACAAAAAATAATCCCTTAACAATATGAATTTTTTTTTAAAAAAAAAGAAACAACCAAAAACCGATTTTGTGGTTCTTAGGTATGTACATAAATCCTTCGAATGAACTTGAAATTACAAAATCGGTCGAGAAAATCTAAATGAATTTTCTCCTTCAATTATGAGATCCGCAACAAGCTCGACTCGCTTGAAGCTATCCATACACGAGCCGCAAGAAACTGATTTCTTCTTTCTTACCTACTGATTGTGAGGAGAGCGGGAGCATTTACTTTTTCCTTCATTTATATAGGATGCAACATGCATGACTCTTGCGTTGGCAGAAACCCTTTCATTAAGGAGATCGCAAGAGCCTTTACCGCGTTCATTTCCAAAGGGATTACTCCAAAATTTTACGCATTTAAATAATTTAAACGATTCATCTGTTCTTCTCTTCTCTCCTTCCATCCATTGACAGAGATACACAATTTTTCGGACTCTTTGACGAGACTGGCTCGATGCTCTCGGTGAAACGGTGCCTTTTTATCCCTGACGCCAGCTTCCGTTTTACCAGTGGACCCATTTTACCACATAGGTACATATCAGACTCTTTCGATTAACTTCGCTGCATCTAAATCATGGTTGCTTTTACTGTAAGCTTACAGTATGATTTGGATGGTGAGTAGGCTAAAAATTTTCGTTCACTTTTCTTTTTTTCATTTTCACGGAATGGGTCCCATTTGACACGAGGGGTTATTTAAAAAAATTGAATTAAGTTTCGATATAAAAAACTCACACCCGTGCTGTGACGTATGTGTAATTCTCTGTTTTTTTTTTGTTTTTTTGTTTTTTTTTTTAATCTTAGAGGTAATCCACACTTGTTTACGCATCGAGCCGGTCGCGTCAGTGAGTCCGAAAAATGTTGTATCTTTGTCAATGGACGAAAGGAGAGAAGAGAAGAACAGATGAAACGTTTAAATTATTTAAATGCGTGAAATTCTGGAGTAATCTCTTTGGAAATGAACGCGGTAAAGGCTCTTGCGATCTCCTTAATGAAAGGGTTTCTGCCAACGCAAGAGTCATGCTTGTTGCATCCTATATAAATGAAGGAAAAAGTAAATGCTCCCGCTCTCCTCACAATCAGTAGGTAAGAAAGAAGAAATCAGTTTCTTGCGGCTCGTGTATGGATAGCTTCAAGCGAGTCGTGCTTGTTGCGGATCTCATAATTGAAGGAGAAAATTCATTTAGATTTTCTCGACCGATTTTGTGATTTCAAGTTCATTCGAAGGATTTATGTACATACCTGTGAACCACAAAATCGGTTTTTGGCTGTTTTTTTTAAAACAATTTCTTATTGTTAAGGGATTATTTTTTGTTCCTTTTTTTTAAACCATACAGAATAAGTTTTTGGACCCATGTGGCTTAGGTGGACCCTGATAATTTAAGAAAGGTTTTTTCGTAGTTACTTAGTTTTTATCACTTCTGTTGTTAACTTTATCGGTCATACTTTATCACCTTACTAACTTACTTCATACTTTTTATTTAGTTTTATCAACCTTCTTAAAGGGGTGAAAGGGAATGTTTTGGTTAATAAGATTTAACACAGCAATTTCCTCTAACGGATTTTTTGCCCGAAAATGTTCATGAGGGTTTTTGGTGGTTTAGGTATATCAGCTCGATTTTGAATGGAAAATGGGTGGACATAAAATATTAAGTAGGTACTATTAGGTAGCTATATGAAAATCCTGAATGAATGGAAAGTAAACAACATCTGCTAAAGCACATACACATTCAGCGGAAATTTTAATAGCACCCACTGACTAGTGATCAGTCTGGAAATAGGTAGTTGAAAGTAGCGGAGCTACCTAAGGTAGTCAAATGCATCTGTACCTATTGGAAAGGCTCACAGGAAAAGGGTGACATGGGGGGCGGGGGTTGAATAGCTATCGAGTTGTCGCATTGCCCAAATTAGGTAACTTGAATCTCTAATTTTCCAACAAAAGTAGGTACATTAGGGCGACCTTTAGTTCCTCAGATTTTTTGTGGTTTCCTCAAGGGTTATGTGAGTGAACGGTAGATACTTACTGGTATTGAAGGATGAACTAACTGTAGGATACCTACTCCCAAGGGGCTAAATATTTAATAGGGTAAAGGGTAGTGAATCAAGGTTACTGAGTGTTACCCTGGCACATTTATGTACCATTAAAATTCCAAGATTTATAAATCTAGAATATCTATTATAATAGTAAGTCCTACGTAAAACTTAAGTGATTCAGGTACCTAATATTCGACTAAAGTTCAACCCTTAAGTACATTAACCTGCGTGAGAAAATTAGTTGAAAAAGGGTATAACTTATTGTCATAGGCATTACACTGTAAGCTATTTCCAAGTGATAAAATAATTTTGCTCATTTGTTTCAACTACATACATCATCACTCTTAAGCGCACCTATATTTGTATTAATAATGCTAGCGGCTAGTTCTCCGATACTGAATTTCATCACTCAGCAACCTATCAGATGATAATGGAAATTCATGAGAGCGTTGCCTTATAAATCATAGGTACTCTGTATGGAATGATGAATTATTCACGAAACAACTAGTGAATGAAGTAGTAGAGCACAAATTTTACCAAAATTGGTCTATTTGGTGTGGCAGGACTTTAAACTAGCTATTTTCATGACTTTTGGGATTATTATCCTTTAGAGTATCCAAACATCCAAACTTTTTTCCTACAGTCTCTCTACTATACTCTAAGGAGCATTGTGAAAGAAAAACAATTGTCGATGATTGCAATGAAATGAGAAATATTTTCATCTTCCTTAAATACTTAATTTCTCATTG